CCCAATAGCTGCAGGAGGCCTTTTACCACCACAATGGCAGTTGACACTTGCCCAAGGGTGCAGCAGCGCAAGTCAGCCTCCAATGAAACTGTCATGCGAAACCTTGGATGCATAACAGGCGGGGAAATGCATTTAGCTGGAGGAAAATTCCAACATACCCTTCAAATTCAACTTTACAAAGCGTCAGTGATCAAATATTAAACTTTAAAACAGCCACCGCTCTATACAAAGTGCTGTACATGGAGCAAAAAAAAAATGCACACAATCAAACAAATTAATAATGAAGACAGTAGAAAGCACAAAAATGGCAATACTGTATTAAAAATCAAGTCTCATGCTGCGTCAAAAGCCAGAGAATAAAATGAGTTTTAAGATGAGTTAGTGAGGGGGCTTGCCGAATGTTCAGCAAGAGGTCATTCCAAACGGAGGGACCAGCAACGGAAAAGTCTCGATGCCCTCAGAACCTCCGCTTAGTTCTTTATTCCTCTAATAGTGTCTGGTCCGCAGACCTGAGGCAGGTGCGAAGCGGGGGAGGAGCTCAGAGAGGTAAGGTGGGGCGAGGCCATTTAAAGATTTGAAAACAAATAACAGGAGCCTAAAAAGAACTCTAAAATGTATCGGGAGCCAGTGAAGGGATGCCAGAGTCGGAGTTATGTGCTCCCTCTTTTGAGTACCAGTCAAGAGGCCAGCAGCAGCATTCGGGACCAACTGGAGACGCTTCATGGAGGACTAGCTGACTCCAAAGTAAAGTGCATTACAGTAATCCAGCCAGGTTGTGACTCAGGCATGAATTACTGTTTCAAAGTGCTCTTGGGAAAGGAGAGACTTTACTTTAACCAGCTGCCTAAAAGACACTGTGTTTCGCAACGGCACCAATTTGCCCCAAGTTTGAGACTATTGGTTTTAAGATTTCCCATAAATACAGTCGCACCGAGGCTCTACATTATGCTGTCTTTTCACGTGGATTTTTTTCACATTTTGCGCAGGCACTTCAGTTCGTCCTCTTTTGAAATCAGTTGGCCTTCTTTCTCACATTGAGAACATAACTGTAAAGCAAATGAGGAATGCAGAGTCCGACAAGGGCATATTTGAAATGGCAAAATAAAATTGTGAGTAAACTTTTGGCCCCGCGGGAATATTGTTCCACTTGATTTACTTTCGAACCATTTGGTGTGCCGCTTGTCCTCATTCGGGTCACAGGTGAGCTGCGGCCTATCCCGGCTGACTTTGAGCTAGGCGTGGGGTCTTATCACTGCGCTGCCTTTCATTCAAATCAATTACACTGGTCTGCAATTTTTTTTTCTTTTTATTCAGCAAAGCAAATAACATTTTTATCTATATTTTTTGAGCTGATTCTGAACCCGCACTCGGTTTTTACTCGGGCACATCATGTTTTCACAACAATAATAAATAACAAGAACATAAAACGAAAGCTAGTAAAATGTTTCGTATTTATGAATTCAGCAGCAAGCGGACTTTTTCGGAAATGCCATCGCTGTAAGTTATAACGCCACAAGTTTTTATTGGGTAAACTTAAAAACAATACCCTGCGACTGACTGGCGACCAACTCAGGGTGTAGTCGCACAAAAAAAGGTTGTCTTTTAAATGAGGAAACTAGAGCTCAATATTATATTTGATAAAAACTGAGGTTTTTTTTTTTTTTTTTGCGCCACAGTCCGGTTTCATAGGAAGACATGATTTGACAAGCCTATGGATTATTTATTTATTTCTTAAATATGAGCTAACCCTAACCCCAACACCACCAATGTATAATCTTACCACTGCACGTGAAGTTATTAGCAGCATGGCGCATTTGAGAGTCAACGTAAACAGTAAATGTGTGTTGGCAATATCATTTTGTACCACATCAAAATGACTTTGCATGAAAGGTGGGTGGGTTGATGCTTTGATCCAAAGATGAAGAACACAATTCTACCCCAGCCGGAGGCAAGAAGGAACATGGGGGTAGGTAGAGGATTATAAAATTCAATTTAGACCAGTAGCGGGGGTGGCTCTTTTGTGCAACTGAGCTGCTTCCCCACATATATACACTTTGAAAGGAGATTAATCTTTCTGTTTTGAAGGCACCACATTCTACAGACACAACTCCAGAGGCTGCCAATGGTACACTCACCAGGGTTTGTTTTGAGTGTGACAGTACTTCTGCATGTGCAATAAAGGCAACTTTGGGTAAAAAGCAACAATTACAACACACCACCGCATGCATCATCATTCGGCTCATCCTCTCCGGGGACTTATTTTGGAGAGTGACCTAGCAATCGAGAGACGAGGGCATGAAATTGGCCCTCGGTTATGGAGAGAGATTGTTGCGATGAGTAAGTGGGAATCCTTCTCAACAAGGGGTAGACGTGCTTTGTCGCCCGAACAGCTGCTCTCACCATGTGCAAACATCTGCTTGCGGTTGTTATTTGCCGTTTGCTTTGAGAACAGCAACAGCACAACAATCACATTTTATTGACGCGGACCAGATGAGATACCGAAAATGTAAGGTTTGATGGATATCGGTTAATCTACTGGGTCGCAGGAACAACCGATTTCGGCTTGAATAAAGAGGTGTCTTACTTGGATGGAAAATGATGTGAAAATTCAGCGATGAAATGACGAGCTTCAAAGTCAGGATAGCTTAGAGCGGTTGCGCGCCTGCTTCCACCTCGGCTCCTAATCCTTCTTTAAAAGTGACACCGTACAGGGGACAGGGAGCGGAAAATGAAAGCGTTCTTCTAAATGGCTTGTGGAGTGATGCCTGTCAAGTGGAACGAGTCTCGCGGGGAAATTAGCCAGAAAACATGCCAAGCGAGCACTGCGGTTGGCTGTGTGGCATCGTTTCCCCCCCATCAAAGGGGAAGAGGCTACAGAGGCTACACTCACAGGATTCCCAAACACAAGGAATGCTTAATGAAGCGACCAAAGAGACAAATGTTTTCTTTTCCATCCCTGACAATTCAAAGCCACAATGTTGGCGACCATGTGCTGAATTATTTTCGACTGTCATTTGCATTGTCTCATGCAACTACAAAAGTTTCTTGAAACGCTTTGGAAACTGCATTTTGTCTTTGCGTGATGAAAGCTTTGTCACGTTTCTGTTGTCTTTCAGTCACAGTTTTATACAGAGAAAAAAAAGTTCTACCTGTCGTCAAGCATTTCATGAAAATGCCCAACACCAGCAGATTATTCAAACACGTTTCAGCACCACAAATTTAAATTTACACCATTGCGACCCTCACTGTATTTTCGATGGGAATGTTTCATTCTTCAAGTAGGCTTTTTTTTTTTTTTTTAACTTTGGAGGTATTTTTCTTTCTAATTTTGTGGGAATGTTCATAAGCTTCGAGTACATTAGCGCTGGCTCGAATGCATCATCCAATAAGCCAGAGAAAAATTAAAAATGGTGTTGTCTTGTTCAAACACAGCAACTTGTAATCACTTCAAATGCGAACATCAATTGCACCCAAAGCATAATTCTTTAGACCTGAGGCACAAAGCCATAAATGGAGGCATTGTTCAGCTTTGCTGGCGAGCAAGATACCACTTAGCCTTTTCAATCATTAAACATTCAACACTTACTCAAGGCAATTGTCAGACTATTTGTCCGTGTTATTAAATTGTGAATTCACTCAGACATCGTCTTGAGAAATCTACATCTTTCATCCCATGGATAGCCTAGATTTATGTAACCTGCCGGAACAGCTACATTCCAGCAAAACCACTTCATCAGAAGGATTCACTTTCCGACATGCTACCTGTGTGAGGCGGGGCTTTTCTGCAGCAACGGCGACTAAACCAAAATTACGAAGTAGACTTGACGTAAAACACACACTTGAGGTGTCATTGTCTCCTATTACCCCAAGATGGGACCGTCTGGTGGCAGAAAATCAAGCTTGGTGCTGTGGTGAGTCGTCATTTTCATGCACTTTGAATTTGCATTGTATCGTATTTTGAAGGCATTAAACATTACCATAGCGATCAGAGTGTTGCGGCCAGATTAGACGCTCCTTGTGTTTATTATTATATTTCGAAAACACCACAGTTTTCATGCAGCTCATACCATATTATTTTGTTGTATTATTTCCGCCACACCTTAAATGCCGGTCCCTGAAAATATTGTCTGATATAAACCGGTCCGTGGGGCAAAAAAGGTTGGGGACCCCTGCTGTAGCCTATCCCAGCTGTCTTCGGGCAGTAGGCGGGGGACACCCTGAACCGGTTGCCAGCCAATCGCAGGGCACACATACACGAACAACCATTCGCGCTCACACCACGCCTAGGGACAATTTAGATTGTCCAATTAACCTGCCACGCATGTTTTTTGGAATGTGGGATGAAACTGGAGTACCCGCAGCAAACCCACGCAGGCACGGGGAGAAGATGCAAACTCCACAAAGAAAGTCCAGAGCCGGAATCTTCCCAGAAACCTTTGCACCGTGAGGCTGATGTGCTGTCACAAGGTGTTACATTGTTGCTTCATATGCTGTTGTGTGATGTGAGATGAAAACATTTCCTTCAAACTCAAAATTTTAAAAAAAAAAAAAAAAAAGGGTGTAAACATGTTGTCAAAGCAGTCATCGTTACTGAAATTGTGAGTCATGCAACACTGATGCGGTATAATTTCTACTAGTGTTAGTGTCCAATTATTCATGGTTCCCTTAATATTAAATAAATCCCAAATTATTTTTAAAAAGGTCCTCGATGACCTCAATACATTAAAACAATTACGCACTGATCTTCTTTTTTTGTATTCTAAGCTTACCATGATAATCGAAAAACCCTGACTTTTGAAAACAAATTTAGAAAGATGATCTTAAGGTTAACTCCTGAATAATTGGAGGCATTAAGCAAAGTACCAAGTCAAAATGTGAGTCAAGGTGAGTTAATTAGTATTTTTACAGGGCATATTTGCTGAAATATTTACCTTTCTGATGAGCCTTTGTATTTTCAATTTGATTTCTAGTTTTTTTAAGGCTGATGCGATGAATCATACCTCACACTCCCTGGAGCTAGACATTGTGCAAGTGCAGGAGCCGGTGCCGTTGCCAAGCACTTCCATTGCCTCCGGAGTGGCAGCGGGGTTGTAGCTCATGTAATACTCTTGCAGCTGGGTGCTTAGGTCCTGCTCGGGCTCGGGACTCTTTTTGCGACACTTTCTCCCCACCATGGATCGCTGGTGGAGCAATCTGGTCGCACCCGGGTAGCGCCGCCACAATACGTAGATGATGGTCAAAATTAGAGACATGCTGAAGAAGAGCGCCACACTGCCCACCACCACTTTATGTAGCGTCATATGCTCCATCTCCGGGGGTAGGACGTGAGTGGGCCGACTACGTGCGACCGAGTCGCGTGGATCTTTGCTCATATGCCCCGGGAACGTCGGATGAGGAAGAGGATGCGGTCTGAAAGGTGGCTGCGGACCGAAGGTTGGCGGTGTGAGCGGAGACCCGCTTGTGGGGGCAAATGTCAGCTCGTTGGTGGCTTCAGAAAAAAGCTCGGACATTGGTGATGGTGTCTCAGTCAGAACGTAATCGGTTTCCTCGCAAATGCCGTGGTTCCTTGTGGCCTCCATGATCTTTTCTCCTTGGAGATACTTTGGGCTGCTGCATATCATCGTGGTGTCTTTGGTGCCGCGGAAATTTCTTAGCCAAGCCACGAGTGGACATATACCGGTGGCACAATCCCATATGTTGCCAGCGAGGCTGATGGAAGTCAGCGAGATCCACGCCAACACCGCCTCCTGTGACACGTTGGACAGTTTGTTGGATTCCAGATTGAGCACCTGAAGGTTGGGCAAGCAGTGGAACACTGCCGGATCCAGGCTCTGTATTTCATTTCCAGACAAGTCAAGTTTCTGCAGAGTATACCATGTCCAGGGAAGTCCCTGGTTGACCACCTTGATGCGGTTCCACTGCAGATAGAGTGATCTCAGATTGGCCAAACGAGGAAACAGGAAAAAGTTTATCCGGGTGAACTGGTTGTGCTCGAGATGCAACTCCATCAGCTTCTGTAACCCCAAGAAGGTGGTGCGCGTCAGAGCTTTCATTCGATTGTAGCCCAAATCCAGAAACTCCAAACTTCGGCACTCAAGGAACGCTCGTATGGGGATGTTCGAGAGACCGTTTGATCGGAGGTGGAGGTTTTGCAACTTTCGCAAGCCATGGAATTGTCCCGGCTGCAGGATTTCCAACTTATTGTACGACAGGTCTAAACTACGAAGATTGGGAATTCCGTGGAACGTTGAATTGTGCAGAGATGTGATCTGGTTCGAGCTCATGATCAGCTCTTTAAGTCGACGGACTCCCTGGAATGCCCGACTGTCGACGGCTGAAATCTGATTGTGATCCAAGTATATCCAGAGAAGCTGACCCAAGTGAGCGAACTGATACGGCAACAGGGTGTGCAGTTCATTGTAGCGCATGGAGAGGCCCTGACACCCAACTGTAATGTTTTCTGGGACATCCAGGAAGCCGGATGAATCGCAATTAACAGTTTTCCCTTCGCACCGGCAACTGTTTGGACAAGTGCGCTCACCAAAGCTGAACAAGAAGGGAACTCGCAAAAGGAGGAGGAGCGGAAAGAGGAGGTGTGTCACTCGTCCGTCATTCAGCATCGGACCTAGAACAGAAAGAAATACATTTCAGTGATTACAATTTCATTCAAGTCACATCTATGACTCAGGATGCATAAGACCGAATAAGGATGATACCAAATTAGCATGAACCTTTGATTTTGTCATTACCGAAGTAATCCAATGTCAGAACATATGATCAATGTGCTAAACTCTACTTCAAGATGAGAGTGACGTAAGCAAGGCGATGTCAACAACGCTACACCGGTAACATCTTTTGTGGAATTTACTCGCCTTTATTTCGTCAAGTGGTTGCATAAAATAAAATAATCCCGATCCGGGTCATTTTTTTTTTAAGTCAACTATCGATCTAAAAATGCATTTAGGTCCTTATGATTTGAGTTTGCCCAGCCACTTGATGAAATAAAATTGAGGTAGTTCAACACACCATTTTTTTTTTCAGTGTGCAGTTGACTAATGATTTTCAACACACATTTGATATTTGCTAATTGACGTCGATTGTTTCAAGTTTTTTTTTTCCTGAAATAATAAAACATTAGTATTGATTAATTATAATGGTGAATTCCTGCAAAAAAATATCAAACACACACTGCACGCAGCACAAACAAATCGCTTTAGCATCGCCGACCGCAAGAACAAAGAAGCGTTATTACTGTTAAAAACCATTAAAGATGATGCCGGGATTTTCCGATGGCAGTGACAGAGATGTAATCCTCCTCATTACAAAGTAGAGGACCGCGTAATATGCAGCAGTTAGTTCTGGTCGAATGACCACATATTCTCCGGATAGATTAAATTGTGGCATGGTTCTTGAACAGTTTCCTGATTAATATTTCATCTTTCTTTTGAGAAGTACAAAATAGGAAAGAAAAAAAAATGACACGCAAATACTGTGCTCGTGATGCGAAGTGATGGTGAGTAAATGAGAGTAGAGACAACGCGCCGTGTGAAAATGCGTTCTATTAATAAATCTCTTGACTCCTCCAAGCCATAAAATGCAGTGGCGGCTTCCATCTTATCCATTAGCTGCTCTGTGAAGTGGCTAAGGGTTCAATGCGCCGGACCCATTCATTAGTTTTCTTAAAATGATATTCTCATTGGAGCAGTTACAAGGGTCTTGCTGTGCGAACCGTTTTCCATGTCCTGAAACCTTAGGCTATATGATGTGCATGAGCGCTATGGCACTGAGCCATTTTCTCATCGGCGTCATTGCTTGACAGCATATTTAATTAGGGCACATTAACTCGGTATAGATCCCCGCATAAACAAAAGAGGAAGAAACAAGTGTATATCAGGTCCCCATGAGAGGCTTAACGGAGTGGCAAATGATTTTGCCTCCTGTATGGCTATTTTACCCATGATTCAGTCTTGTTTTTTTTTTTTTTTCATGATGCAAGGATTAGAAAACCTTAACACCTCTTACTGGCTGTTATGCAGTATCAAAAGCTTCATCTCTGTGGAGATGCACATGAAAACAGAAAAGAAAAAAAAAGGGCTATAAAAAGTGGAAAAAGACTGGATAGTTTTAGCAGGCAACCCAAGAGATTTAATCTAATCCACGACACGAACATCTGATTATCTCACTTTTTTTTTTTTGCTTCTTAGCAAAGCTTGACCAATTGTAGCTGGAGGCGTCTGAGGCTTTCTATACAAAATAACCCTTGAACATCTTGACAAGTGTGAGTCTTCTTGCATTAAAAACATCTGTAATATCGGAGCGTGTAATTTCCACCGGTTTATTTGCGCGTAATTGTCAGCGAGTGGGTACGCAAGTTAACGCTCTCTAATCTAGAGAGGAAGTAGAAAATAACCAGATCACATGATATGACATTGTTGTCTGTTCTTAGCGTTGGGACAAACGAACCATTTAGAAATGTTTGTAATTTCATCTCTCATGGTTCCCGGGTAGATCTCACACGAAATGTTGCCTCTTGTCGTCTTGTTGTCTGGTTGAGAGGGATAAAGTTGTACTTGACTTGAAATGGTGCTCAGACGCTAGCAGCTCCGTTCGTGTAGCTTTGAAAAATAGCGAGAAGTCAGCATACCTCCAAAAGTAAAGACAACGATTTTTCAAAATAAAGTTTTAAAATTTTGTTTCTATCTTTTTCCATTTTTCAGCAATCGGCATTACAAAATGGCTCGGTTTCATGAAAATGGCGATTCCTGGGCAAAAAAACGGAGAAAAAGAGCATTTTGTAAAAGCATGCATTTCAAGCACGTGAGTCACCACTGCCACCTACTGGTCGTTTTTTTACATGATTTACAGTGTAAACGACTTATTCTCATTCACAGATTGCATCAGACCCTCCTCCTCTCTATGACGCAAAAAAAAAAAACTTCGACGTACAAGTACGTCCTTGGTAGGCAGGGCCTAATTTTAAAAAGACGTACAAGTACGTATTGTGGAATGAAAGAGTTAATTAGGATTAACTACACAGAAACTATAAAGTTAATGTTTTGTAAAACATGATGAGCTTTATGTAGAAAGATTGATTCACTTGAATACTGGTCATCCCATCCTGACGCTGAAGAGACTCAAAACATCCCTGGGCTGTTCTGCTACTGTGTGCGCATGTTTTGGAGTGTCTGCTTGAGCATTTCAAAACAGGTACACATTTGCCGCTTGTTGTGATCTTAATTGTGTAAAAATCATGAAAATATTATCATGGACGCCACGCTATGATATATCCATCCATCCATTTTCTGTTCCGCTTTATCCTCACATGGGTCGTGGGGCATGCTGGAGCCTATCTCAGCTGTCTCCGGGCAGTAGGCGGGGGACACCCTGAACCGGACGAACTACCATCCGCGCTCACACTCACACCTAGGGACAATTTAGAGTGCTCGTGCATGTTTTCGGAATGTGGGAGGAAACTGGAGTACCTGGAGAAAACCCACGCAGGCACGGGGAGAACATGCAAACTCCACACAGGAAGGCCGGAGTCGGGATCAAACCCACGACCTCTGCACTGTGAGGTCGACGCGCTAACCACTCGTTCACTGGGCCGCCCCGGTATGATGTAGCACAGCCCAAATATTATGTGTGCCTCATTGATTTGTAAGCCTGACACTGCACTTCTATACTGCCATGTCGTTGGTGTTGGTTTTTTTTTCGTTGTTTTTTTTTTTTATTCTGCCTGCACGATTTTAATTAACAAATGAGGAATGACATTCATTCATTGATTCAGTGTGATGTACTTGTCAGTCTGCAGTATTACTAGTTAGCCTTGGCTTTATTTAATTAATTTTGAATTCTTTTGGGACTCCTTTACCTATGTGTTTCATAAAGATGCCATTTCATGCATCCCTCCATCCATGTTGTTGTCACGTTGCAAGGTGGTGTTGGACCCCAAAAAAGCAGGCAGGAGGGAGGAGCAGGGTCAGGGTGTACTTGAAAGATTGTATTAAAACTCAGAAAACTAAATCCAAAACAAAGTCCAAAGTATCAAACAAAACACATGACCGAAGATAAAACATAATGACCAAAACCCGACTGAAACAAACCTGACAGCAACAAACAAACATGACAGTAGCACAAAGCAACAATGACCCGACAATGATTGTTTGGGCTGGGAGTCCTTTTAAAGCCACTAATTACCTAATGACCAACAGGTGTGCAGCTGCAGGGAGAGCCCTACAGTGCCACCTGTTGGTCCCAAACCGAATCATGACAGTTGTACTAATTACATTTTGCGGGTGAAATGCTCTTTCCCTGCGGTCTTAACATTGAACTAAAAGATAAAGCAGTACCTCGACTTGAGAACTCCCTAACTGAACCACTAGCTCAATTTACATCTATTCTCAAAAGTGCAAGTGGCACGCAGGATGCCGGGCTGAAGTTGCTCATAACACAAAGCCAAAAATCTAACAAGCCATGGCTCATAACTCGCTGATTGACCAACTCTTATGGCCTGTATTTCCGACTAAAAATTAGTGTGCAAATGCACCACCCAGCATTGTTTCCAGATGCTATCAAAACACATCTTTTCATATGTCACCGAAGGTTATGCACTGATGGCAAGGTTTTTTTTTTTCCATTTAATCCCCCAAAAATTACTTTTCAGCCTAAGGGTACAGAAAGTTGTGCCAGTCCCCAAAGAGTCAGCTGTCGTGTTGCTTGGCATCGCGACGACTTGATATTTCATTTGAATGCACAACGCTCAAAGCACCATTGCAAAGGCTATTAGCCAGAGTGCCCGAGTGGGTTGGCCAACAGCGTGCAGGTCAAATTTTGAGGCACTTCAAACAAATGAAAAGATAGCCAAAAAACCAACTACAGCCACTATTTATTATTAATATTTCAACTGTGCAACAGCTTCGGAACATTATACAGTCGTTTGCGTTTCAATGCAGAGGACATTTTAGGATTACGAACCGGCAAAATAGCGCAATCGACTCCCTCCATTATGCAAACAGCCATTTCTCCTTTGTGTTTTCATTTCACCGAGTCGTTATGCAGTAAGGAATGCTATACAGGGTGCATGTTGATTAAATCAATTTGCAGCAAAACCAAAAAAAGGAACGAAAAATGTCACTGCTGCTGTTTTAGTAGTAACCATATTTCAGAGTTCAAATAACTGCAGCGAAAGAGCTCATTAAAACAATAAAACCAAAGCCTTTGTGCGGTATCCAAAATTATGACGACTTGGAGCGAGCCTCGTTTAATGTGTTTGGGGAACTTAGCAAATGGCTCTGCGGGGCGTTGTGGCATTCCGAGGGCTTTTAGTTTTACACGCTGCACGATTTGGTGGCCTAAAGTAGACTCAACTTTAAACCTGCGGCAACCATGTCTACACATTGGCGCAGATAGTCTAATGTGATTTTGGTGAATTTGATCAATTCATTAGGCGCTTCACAGCAGTGATCCGCACTCTCCCTATAGCCAACTTTACATAATCTGCCGACGGAGGTCTGCTTGCGGTTCCGAATCCGATTGTGCTTGCTGCATTGTCAAGAACGATCACCACGCCTTTCACGCAGGGCATTTAAAAAGGGAAAAAGAGGAGCCGCTTTGATTTGCTGTGTT